TTTGGGTGGCGCCCAGCCAGAGTTTTCAGCAGGTTGATTCGCTGTTTACAACACCTCGTTGAAGTGCGGGCCGAAAGTGAGGTGACGGTCGAAGCAGACTCCGAGGATTCGAATGGTTTTATGGAATGGGACCGGTTTCCCGTTGATGAGAATCTTGATGCTCAGGACCTTGTGATTGGTCGAGCATACGTGTGTATACCCGCTTTTGCTTTCGGAGAGCTGAAATCTGGCTGACGAAGCCCAGGTTGATACGTAGGCGGTGGCTTGTATAAGCTTCAGAGTGTCAGTCAGCGGTTTTATGATTTGTGAACGCTCGTGATTCATAGAATCGTTGATTGTGACTGCAAGTGGATTTGACGGGTTTTGTGTGTCGGACGCTTGCTTTTTGGCCTCTTCTTGTGTCTAACATGTGCAGAGTATCATTATAACGTCTAATGGTTTTGATATTCCTGGTGGCGTGAAATATATTTGTGAGACAATATTGTTTCTGTACCTAAAGAAGTCAACCCTCCGAACACGCCGGAGCTTCGCCCAATCGAGATATATTGGGCTATCATGAAGACAAAACTTCACAAAACCCCTAAGGTGTTGGAAAATGAACTGGTCGGAAGTAATATTTATGCTAGCTTGATTTTCGAACAGTTTGTTTCCCCAAATGCATTGCGTATAGAAATTCATCATGTGAAGGTTTATACAAAAATATTCATTCTGGAAAAACTTTCTTCATTGCAAGGACTGTCATTACATCTGTCATATGAACCATATGCAGAGGACATAATAAATCCAATCTTACATTGTATGTAAGAGAAACTAATTTTGCATGTATAAGTTTTTGGAATTATGCTTATGTTTTCGTAGAAGGAGTAGGCTGTGCGTGTGATCGAACCTGACGTTTGTTTTTTTTTCCATTGATTATAAAACGGTTGCTGATCTGGCCAAAACCAGGCCCAGGAGACAATTTCTAGTTCCTCAGTCCCTATTATTTGCCGCTGAGAAGCTGTTGCAAAGCCAAACAGAATCTCCACAACATCTAGAGCAATCCTAGCAAATTCGTTGAGTCGCAGCGTTGAACCTGACTATTGGCCACGAAAAGGCTTGCCAATGCACATAAAAAATCGACTACATACATCCGAACATTTGTTTATCTCAAATCGAAGGAAGACATTCCGCGCAACTGCCATAAACCGGACTAGTTCATGTTGATCTTCATCAAGCTTCGTCTACAGTTTGGACTTACATTAACACATGTCAGACAGCCTTCAGGTTCAATTAGCTAAACTTGATGAGTTCGTTCCATTTTGTAAATTTTTGACTTTTCAAACCAGTAACGTTGAGAGTTCACCTTTTTGTGGTGCGTTACTGGTATAAGTTCTACCACCGAACCCTAGTCTTGAGAACTTCAAACTAGGGAATCAGAATTTTCCAGTAATCAAAGGGTTACATTTAAGTGCTTGTTACTTTTTATGACTTGATAATAGTGAAAAGACTCGGGTAGTGACCACCGCCGTTATGCATATCTATATTGTATATTTCAAATAAAAAATATTGTTCATGTTCATAGAGTTTTTTCCTTTTCTCTTTGTCCTTCTCCTTTTCCTTTCCCTTCTTCTTTTTTCAGAAAGCGAGAAATTGCGTTATAGCCATAAGCCATAGAAAAACTACGACAAGAGTTAGTGCTCATGTCCCAACCGCCAGAATAAAATGGAGCATCACTTAACCTTTCTAGCTTTGATGCTTCCAACAACCAACCAATGATATAATTACCAAAATCGGAACGTACCGTACGAGTTGTCCACGTTTCATCCATTTATTGGATTCTGAAGCATCGTGTTTGAATCTTCGATTTAAACAGGCCCTATGTTTTCTGAATAATCTTGCCCCTTAAATGCTGCATAGTAGGCCTGGCCGTTTTGATATGTGTGACGCATCTTCGATGTGAAACATATATAAAATAGACAAGAAAAATTATGGAGGTGTATCCATCATTTTCCAGGATGCTTTCAAGAACTGGCTGTGTTGGAGTTAGATTAGATTAGATTAGATTAGAGTAACGAGTTGGAAGGTGATTCAAATATTTAGAAGGGAATGAAATTCGATTGAACTGGACATCACCGTTTCTTTCCTCGATTTGCTCCATAATTTGAAATTCTGCAGCCCTAACTTTAATGTCATAGCTAATAGGGGTTACCTAGGCCCCCTCCAGGGTGATCTAAGCCCTCTCCAGAATGTTTTGAAGATTAATATAATTCTCGTGCAACACGAGAAAAGAGCCTATCATTGTTGATTGATTTTCTCTTTCGCAAATAAGCCGACTTCAAATGAATTTTCCATTGAGTGTGTTGTTACAGGCGCAAGCTAACATCATCCTCTGTCGAACTGTGCTGCGAGCTTAGCGAGAAATTCGTTTATGCTGCCGTGGTAAACCAAAGAGAAAGTCGATGAAGAGTATCGATCAACATTGGTAGGCCCTTTTCAAATGTTACGCGAGAATTATTAATTATTAGTTATTAGAATAACAAAAAATACAAAGGCTAGGATCATTATGGAGGGGGCCAGGCACCCTAGGCACCCCCACTTGCTACGCAAATGCCTAGCTTTAATCCCATTTTGATCAACTACCTCCTCGCATTCCCATAGTCATCATTTCAATAGATCAAAACACAAAAGCAACGTTCACAGCTCGTGTCGCTCGTGCTATTTTGTAGACCCAAAGAGCGCTTGCCCACAGATAATAGTCCCACCGACGCCACCATCGAGCGCCGATATAATTCATTACCATTGTTCTTTGTGTTAATCAGTAGGAAAATTAATCAATCAATTCAAATTAGATCAAATAAATATTTCAAGTGTGCGTGTGTGTGCAGCAGCAGCAGCAGCTGCACAACAAGAGATGCGCTCACGCTCCAGATAGGAACGGGAACCTATATGGATCATCATGGCGTGATCGGAGACGAGATGGGAGCGCAGCGCACGAGCGAGCGAGATAATGTACGGAATTATTCGAAATATTTTTCATTCAAGTGCTATTATTGAAAAGGACCGCTCTCGCAACAATAGAATCGGTAGCCTGCCTCCTGATGTGTCACCCAGCACAGAGTAGAGGCGAGCGGGCGCTGCAATGTTGTTGTATGTAGGTAGGTAGGTAGGAGGAACCTACCTCTCAACAACCCGGAGGATATATGGGATGATAGGAATTTGAAGCTGCACGCTATCAGCTCTCCACGGTCGCGCCGTCATCGTTCCACAATTTCCCGATGATGATGTTAGTTGAGTGGATTTTCCAATACAACACCACACGGGTAGAGAGGATGGAACAGCCAACCGAAAGGATATGTGTTCCAACAGCTCCCTTAGTCGATGAACGAACGATGGAACAGCGATTAGAGAACGATCAAACGCTGGGGTTGTCTGTGATGTCGAACACAGCCTTGTTGGTTGGATGGAGCACGCGAGAAAAAATTGAAAACGAACACAATCATCCGGTTCGTCTTTTGTTCCTACCTATCATCCACTCCACATGAACGCGAATGCGCCGCCTTTCGTGGTAGGAACGCGATTTTTCCTACAAATGCCTACCGCCACGATGAACTTGAAGCGAGGATTTGGTTCGGTTTGGTTTGGCGGGGGAGGAAAGTGAACTTCAGTCGCAAATGCAGTCGATCCCTGTGGAGTGCGGAAAGATATAGACACGCTGCTGCCGGTCCGTTGGATTGAGATCCTATCACTTTATCAAAATTCGTCGGATTCCGGTGAAGCATCATCGTATGTCCTGGGAAGGATACGAGCTTTTAGAATTCCTACTTTTTTCTCGGTATCGCAGCCGATCGTGGGAAAACGATGTGAGAGTTCATTGGCTGAATTTTGCTGTTATTTCGACGGGAATCAACTTTCCCTTATGACAAGAGAATTAAGTGTCCTTTTGGTCCTTGACTGAATTTGGTAACGGGAAAGCTGGTTAACGACTTCGCTTAATTGGTATTTGCAAGCTGGTTGGATATGTTTAAAGTACTTGCTTGAACGAAGATAGAGATTATTTTGTTTTAGGAATCAACAGCCAACTGTTATTTGTCGGAGTTCATGTGTAGTGCATAATATTTTGACAAAGCACTAAATCGCAGATTGCCTCGATCCGAGGCAAATAAACCGACGGGATTCACAGTTACTAACTGCATATTCGTTCAGCGTTGTCCTGAGCAGTAAAAATCGATCATTCCCTACTGACAATCACCAAGCTACTGCACGTGAGCAAGGCTTTATCGTTGTAGTGGGTATTTCCCAACCGTGCTAACAGATGCAGGAAAACTCTCGAACTGAAAGTAAGCACGTTTGTTGCGCCACCGTCGTTCTCAAGCTGACTTGTGCTGCAGTGGTTGTAGCACCAAGTACATTATTAGATACTTGTAGCTTCTGCGGCTAAGCGGATTACGTTCCCTTTTCCCTTCTCCCAGTTTGGAGCAGCAATGGATGACTCACTCCGGGTCGGACTTGTTCGAGACAACGAAACATATTGACCAATTTATGAGACTGTCAATGAATTCAAGATTTTATGCACTTCGACAAAAGTGTCGGACTAAGTTGCCCCATTTGCACATTTTCAAAACAAATTACCAGAAACATTGTTTGTATTCAGCGCCAAGAGGAGGAGCAAGCGGACGTCAGATATCTGTAGGTACTTCTACTTATCTCAAATGGTCGTCATCATTTAAAGTGAAACCGTCCAACGTGACTAACCGCCGCCCCGCAGTCAGTCATTCAGTCAGCCGGTCGGTCGTGCAAACGTCGTGCAAGGAATACTTGAACGGCAAGAAACCGACCGAGAAATGAATTATGACAAATTTCCTCCTCTTCATCCTCCCGTTCTGCTCGGTTGGGCTGACATTGGGTTCCCCTCAAGATAAGATAAAAGTGCCGTTTTTTAGCGGCTGGACAACCAGTCGGAATCGAATTGTTCTTTAAATGTTCTAATGGTCAACTTTTTTTTCGATTTCTCTCCATTGCAGACAGTGGACTGGGAGCCGGCACCATTACGACAAGGTGGACACCGATGGGTCCAGGGCCAACGGCTGGTTCGTTGGTCCAGGACGACACCAATGGGTCCGGTGTCGACAGCAAACACCTGGACGTCGGCGATATGAGCGATGTAAGTATATTATAATTTGACTAGGCTTAAGAAAGTTGTGTGTAAGGCTAACAGGTTTTAAAGATTTCCAATTGTGGTAATTAGTAGTCAGCAGCTCACAATGCACTGTGGTCCGAAACGGCAAATTAGCAGGAAACAAATTTATTCTGTTGTTATTCATTTAAGAGGGTTGATGTCTTCGGAGAAGGTGTATAAATTAAAATGGGCCTGATTTTGGTAAAAATAATGATTAGGGTGGTCCTACTTTTTTAAATAGAAGCCTTACTCTTTTGTTCAAAGTTATAGCTGGTTTCATTCGTCATCTTGCTTTCTTTGCTGAGGAATGAATCCACCTATAACTTCAAACAAAAAAGTTTGATTTCTGTTTTAAGTAACCGAGAGGACTATCCTAATCATCATTTTCGCGAAATTGAGGCCCATTTCAATGGAAACTTGTCTGCAGCAGGAAAATCATTCTCAAAAAACGGGGGACCCCGGCGTAGCGGTTAGCATCCATACCTCTCACGCCAAAGTCACAAGTTCAAATCTCACCCGGAGAAGTCACGAATGACATAAGAGCGTTAAAGTGACTATAATAAAAAAAAACCCGAATTTATCCACCTATGGTGTGATCAGACCCTTCTTACTTATTCAAGTTTATTTATTTTATTGTCATTATCAGTGACCAAGCCCCCCACCCCCGTGTCATCCAGTGACGCTATGCCACTGCCTGGGGGTACCCGGAATATATCCGGATGTAGTCTATTTGGTGAGGCTACCAATCACCTTATCATCGTATTTTAATGTGATTTAATGGGTTTTAATTCAATTCATATTCAAGCAACTTCCCCGGGGTACCCGGAACATGTCCAAGTGTGTCCAATGTGGTCTGGAACACTTAACACGACTTGCATTGATCTTATTTTTGAATTCTGTAGTAATTTGATGTGTCGCATGATGGTTTTGATACGTTTTCCTTAAATCCAGCGTGAAGGCCCATATTCACCAGATCTTATTCCGGCCATATCTCCGGAACCGGTTCACCGATTCCAAAACCGTTCAATAGCGTTCAATGGGAACCCAAGACCTATCATTTGGCGCCGAGTTTGTCCAAATCGGTTGAGCGGTTGCTGAGAAACGTGAGCGCATTCATTTCGTTACATACACACACACATACACACATACACACATACACACACACACAGACATGTTCCGATCTCGTCGAGCTGAGTAATGGTATATGACACTCGGCCCTCCGGGCCTCGGATCGATAGTCGGTTTTTCAAGTGATATCTATACCCTTCTTTGTAAGAAGGGTAAAAATCATTCTCAAATCACATTCATTGAGCCTCCTTGCGAGAATAAACTCGCGTATGAATGTGGCATCCAAATTTCACACTTGAAATTCTCATGCATATTCATGTCACTGAAGTTATCCAGTACCATACCATCCAGAATACATCATAAATCAACTATTGCATACTTCACGGCGTAAATGGAGTAATTGTGCTAAATTAACTTTTAAATCAAAATTTACAACCATTAATGACATTACATATAATTTAACCATGTATGGTGGGAAAACCAGTGACAAACCATTCCAGTTCTTCACCTAGAATATTCTAGAATATCTAAACAAGACATTTAAACATTAAGACATCTTGGCTAATTGTTTTGAAATTGTCTGATTGATTTATTTTTACTTCAAAGAGGAGTTCTTCAAAGAAATTTGAAAATGTTTGTACAAATACTTGCTGGATGGGAATACTGAGTCAAATATAAATGATTTATTCAGAGTATTCAGTAATATCTTAAGAAGACATTTTTATACTTAAACATCATGGCTAATTGTTTTGAAATTGTTTGATTGATTTTTTTACTTCAAAGGAGGGAAGTATTGTTTGCACAAATCAGGATAACATAGGAAATTATCACAACCCATGTGAAGTCATCCGAGGTGTGAACAAAAAGAAAGGTTGCCAAAATAAAAAATATGCCCATTGATCGACACCAGAGTTGCAAGCTTCTCTCTGCGTAACTCTTCTATTATCAACTCTGGATACAAGGTTAAACAAAAAGTTCCATTATTGTACACGAATACTGATGGGAGTTCTTCCGGAAAAACACCCCGGTAACAACGTGTGAATGTCCACTCAGAGTATTCACCAGCTCTAGAGTCGCTCCGTCCTGCGAAATGGTCAACGAAAAAGACCGTCTTCTGCGCCTTTGTCACCACCAACCGTTTCCGCTTGGCGAGGTCCCACGGTCCCACCGGACAATTATTCCATTCTTATTCGTCACGTACAGAAACCGATCATCGTCATTTAGCCATGATGTTTAGGTCTGCAAATGTCTTCTTAAGATTTACTTAATACTATGAAAAAATCAGTGAGTCAGTATTCCCATCCAGCAAGTATTTGTAGAAAAATTTTCAAATTTCTTTGAAGAACTCCTCTTCGAAGTAAAAAAATCATTCAAACAATTTACAAAACAATTAGCCATGATGTTTAAGTATGCAAATGTCTTCTTAAGATATTACTGAATACTCTTAATAAATCACTTTACTTATATTTGACTCAGTATTCCCATCCAACAAGTATTTGTACAAACATTTTCAAATTTCTTTGAAGAACTCCTCTTAGAAGTAAAAAAAATCAATCAAACAATTTCAAAACAATTAGCCATGATGTTTAAGTATACAAATGTCTTCTTAAGATATTACTAAATACTCTGAATAAATCACTTTAATTATATTTGACTCAGTATTCCCATCCAGCAAGTATTTGTAGAAAAATTTTCAAATTTCTTTGAAGAACTCCTCTTTGAAGTAAAAATAAATCAATCAAACAATTTCAAAACAATTAGCCATGATGTTTAAGTATGCAAATGTCTTCTTTAGATATTACTGAACACTCTGAATAAATCACTTTAATTATATTTGACTCAGTATTCCCATCCAGCAAGTATTTGTAGAAAAAATTTTAAAGTTCCTTGAAGAACTCCTCTTTGAAGTAAAAATAAATCAATCAGACAATTTCAAAACAATTAGCCAAGATGTCTTAATGTTTAAATGCCTTGTTTGTCTAGAATATTCTAGGTGAAGAACTGGAATGGTTTGTCACTGGTTTTCCCACCATACATGGTTAAATTATATGTAATATCATTAATGGTTGTAAATTTTGATTTAAAAGTTAATTTAGCACAATTGCTCCATTTACGCCGCGAAGTATGCAATAGTTGATTTATGATGCATTCTGGATGGTATGGTACTGGATGGCTTCCTGTACTACAAATTAGTACATGCTGGATGGTATGGTACTGGATAACTTCAGTGACATTGCATATTCACGCACTCACACTCACAACGCCGCTTTAAACTCATAAAAACCACTCAAACGTCAATTGAACGGCAAACATGCTACCCAGGCAAGTCGAGAAATTTTTCAACCCGAAAAATTGCTAGACCGAACCAGCAACCGAATTCAGCCACCTTAAGTATGGTCTTACTTTATAGCAGCACTTTTGAGAGGCCTCTCATGTCATGGATTCAGATTTTCAATGAAAATTTCCATGAAAATTCCAATAAAGTTCTGAGAAAGTTCCAAGCGGATTTTTCCTAGAATCTCCCCTGCAATTTCCTTAAAAATTTCCGTAGATTTTTCTTTTCAGTACCTGTGACCTGTGACGTATCTGATTTTGTAAACAATTTCAATCGACGATTTGAGACAACTGCTAGCTCAATCACAGAAACTACCAACCAGTGTTCCCAGATGTACCGATTTATCGGTATTTATACCGATTTCCAAACTAGATACCGATATACAGACAAGGTTCCTCAGAATACCGATTTGTAAGATTTTATACCGATTTATACCGATTTTTTAAATAATCAAAATTATTATTGCTTGCTTATCCGCTCGAATTTCGGATAATATTTTTGTAAGACACTTGTATCTTTTTGAATACCTGCCTAGGGAATCGAGAAATATTTTTTTTAACATTATTTAACTTCCGGAAGTTTTTATTCTTTTTTTAACTTCCTGAAGCTTCATCCACCTTACCTTGGAAGCTTCTTCAGCCTTCGTTTGATTGTTTCTTTCATCTTCTCCTGCCTGTTTTTTCAACTTTCCCGGAGCTTCAAGAATGCTATCAGATTTTTATTGCGGATCCACGCTAGCTGCACGAACATTTAAGAAGTTCTGAACCTTCAGAAAAGTCCAGGCTTTTGTGTAAGTTTCGATAAGACAGTTTCATTAACTTCTGTTAAAACTCGAAAAACCCGGAAATTTCTGAAAAGTCCAGCGAACTTCAGTGAACTTAAGGAAACATCATAAATATTTTGGAAACTTCACAAGTCCAAGGAACTTCAGGGAAATTTAATGGTTTTCAGGAACTTTAGTGAAACTCAGAGAACATCAGAACAGATCAATTAATTTCAATGAAATTGCTCAAATTATAAAGGAGTTCCGAAAAACTCGGGCAATTTCCGAAAACCTCAGCAAAGTTCTGAGGAGCTCATGCGAATTTTTGGAAACGTAATGGAAGTTACATGAACATTAGAGCATTGTGAGAACATTTTATGGGAAGTGCTTTTTAAAGGCAGTGTCGATAACTTTAAAAAATTAAAAAAAAATCAGGAAGATCAGAGAGCTTCAATACTGATGTTACAAAAATTTCAAATAATTGTGAGAGCACTTAAGAGATTTCGTAATCTTCAAGAAAGTCCAGAGACCTTCAAAAATGATTAGAGATATTCCGGTATAGTCTTATTATAATCAGTAAAGTTTCTAGCACTTCGAGTCTGACCAGAGAACTCCAAAACAGCCCCTAATTTCAGGAAAATTACAAGAACTTTTAAGGAATTTTGAGGAATTATGCAATATTCAGAAGTGCATTTCAGGAATGTTCCGAAACTTAAGGGAAATTTCGGAGTCTTCAGGGATGTTTTATGTTTTAATGTTGTAAGAACGATAAGTGTTGTGTCTTGTCTCGCGTCGCGTGTTATGTATGTTTTATGAATATCAGGAAAATTTTCTGGAACATTAGAACATCCCCCTGGAATTAAGTCCTTGTTTCTTTCGACTGTTCCGTAAGCCCTCTGGCTTCCGACTTTCTTCAGATGTTTCTTCCAATCTACCTTAGGAAATTTCTGCCACCGTCTCCAGAAAGTTTCATTCGTCTTCTCCAGGAAATTCAATTAATTCTCCCAGAAATTTATTTCGTCTTCTTCTGGAAGTTTGACCATAAGCCAAAGGTTTTTTTTTTGTTCGACTACTATTGGAAGGTTTTTCCAAGCTTCTTCTGGTTTTCCCTGGAAATGGCAACTTCTGGAAATTTTCTTCTTGTTTTCGAAACTTTTTAGGCTTCCTTTTTTTCTGATAGTTTATTTAAAATTTCGCCACAAGTTTCTCAATTCGTGTCTTGGAAGTTTCCCGGATGTTTTGCCGGCTTATCTCGAACTTCATCCAGGACAGCTTCTTTCCTCTTTCTTTGGATGTTTTTTCAGCTCCATTCAGAAGCTAATTCAAACATTTCCCGGAGTTTGCTTCCGGAATTTTTCGATCATAGTTCAAAAGCTAAAAAATTTTGCTCTGTCAAACGGCTTTCTCAGTCTTAAAACACAGCAACACGATGTAATCTGCCCGACATTTTAGTCATGGGTTGTGGCTTTTTTCAAGGGAAAATATTGTTCGTCGTTATTGTCATTTTGATTATTGATTTTCCATAATTTGGTTTCATTTAATGATATTTAATTGAAAAAAAAACACTGCTTGGTCACAATTTTGATCACCACTTGAGGACAAAGATAATTTAAAAAAAAAATAAAAATTGAAGAGTGTTTTAAGACTGAGAAAGCCGTCAAACAAAGCAATTCCGCTCAAATCCCAGTCACCATCGTTAAAATTTTCGGTTTCAAAAATACCAAAAATATATAATTAAAGGAATAGTAAAGAGCGATAAATACCGTGTTTTAATACCTTTGATACCGATAAGCGTTAAACCAATATGGCTGCTACCAACACCAGCTAGTAGGGGAAATATTCCCCTACCTGATGTTGGTGTTGGCGTGATTGCAGTTAAGACAAATCGTCGCTTGAAGTGATTGTTTACAAAAGCAGACACGTCGATTTGTATAGTTACGCTTGAATTGTTTGATGTTAAAAATTGTGTATGCCTGTCAGTAACTAAATAGAGCACCTAACCAATCCCCGGGCCCACTCAACTGTATCTAACCCATTGTCCATTTTTCTCTTCTCTTCTATTCCAGGACGTAAGTGACATCCGTTCCGTGTTGCCATCGTGGCTGTGTACCAACCTTCCCATTTGTGTTGTTTTGCTATTTAAAAATCAACCAAATTTCAAGATTGCTGAAACATATCTTCTCGTTCTTCTTTTTCAACCTCCCGCACTTCCCTCCAATCTCCTCGATTTTGGAATCCCACAAAATTCACCACCTTCCCCATCAATCCCACGCTACCCGCCCCGGTTAGGACGAACAGGACCTGTCGTCGGCCGATGCCGAAGGTGTTTGGAGTCCGGACATCGAGCAGAGCTTCCAGGAAGCGCTGGCCATCTACCCACCCTGCGGTCGACGGAAAATAATTCTTTCCGAGGAGGGGAAGATGTATGGTAAGTGCATTCGACAAAAAAAAAACAATGTTTGTGTACACAGTGGTGGTGCCATCTAGATGTCAAATCATATAGCCATAATTGAATCAAAAGAAGCGGAAAAAAGGTCACAACAAGGGGTTAATTTAGTTTAATTGCCCAAAACGCATACACAGTGAGCCCTCTTTATTACCGAAAAAGCAAACCAACCCAAACCTGCGTTAATGTCCGTGTTTGTGTGTGTGTGTGTGAAGGCGTAAGGGCAAAGTAATGGAAGTGATAATCATGAAAACAATTGGCGATAATTACTGTGCCGCTTGGTAGTTGCCAAATTGGCGACAAGCTGTTTTTGGCACACGGTCTCCATGGCAGCTAACCGAATAAAATTGTTGGTTTAGTTACCATAACAAACGTGTGCAACCATAGGATGTACGGAACAGACAAATTTGTTTGGCGTAATAATCGTTATTGTTAGGCTTATCTTTCTGACAACCGTTAAATGTATGGTTATTAAATTCTATGCAATCGTTTAGCTAAAACTGACAACCCTCCCGTACCACCACCAGTTAATTCGCAGGGCGGCAAATAATATCTTCTCCTCAACGGGCAGCAAAACAAACAAGAACTGACGCCAAGACTGCCAACTACAAGCAATTATGCGTGTGCATGTTTGTGCATGGGCTCTACAATTTAACAATCAAAAACAATTTCTTCTCCATTTCGTTCCGACCACCAAGCTTCGAAGAAACGAGGCTAAACTTTGCAACAACAACGGACCGCTCGGCGCGGAGTAATTACATCCAATAAAATTGCAACCATTTCGAGTGGTGTACCCTCTGCCATCTCTCGGAATATCGCAGAAGGGCGAGCTTCGGCTGAGGAGGCGGCGGTTGGCGGCAGGCAACAACGGAACAAACATAACAGCATAGCACAGACGCAGGCGAGCATTAAGATTCATTAATTTTCAAATGATTTACGATCCCCGCCCTTGCCCGCCCCCGCACCACCAGCTCTAGTGGAAGAAAGTCGTAATCGTAGTAGTCGTCGTCGTCGTCGTCGTCGTCGCGCGAAAATGCATCCTCATTTTCGCCGTCGGTTGGAGCAAAGCAACGCTTCGCTGCACGCATCGCTGAAGCGCCGCCGCTGTTCAACAAGAGCTCCAAAGTGCGCGGCGAGAAGCGGGGAAGCTGGGAATGCTGGCAAAAGAGTAAATTAATTTTAATTTCAGTTTAATGTAACCCTTGCTGCGCTGGGGACGCGAAAGCGCGGATTCTCTCCCGGCACAGCAGATAATCAGGGGAAAAATGCTATTCTTTTGATGATGATAATGACGATGGCGACGGCAGTGGAGGCGGCGGAAAAGTTCTTCAATTTTCCAAGAAGAAAGTTTGTAAATTTCGTTCCGAATCAAATTACTTGATGTAGAGAAGAACGCACCAAGTTTCGAATAGCACGGGTCGCTGGAGTAGTCATTTGTAATGTTTGTAACTTTTCTAATTCAGATTTTGAGGCAATCTCTGAGGGTGGTGGAAATCATTTCAAAGTCCCAAATTTCTTGATTAATTTTTTGATGTTCCGTAAAAGTTTAGAAGATTTGATTTTGTTTACACCATTAATTCCAATCAAACAGGGAATAGTTGGTAATGGTATCAGCTGAATTCACGTTTTGCCCGTCCTAGTCGGATAATTGTTATATAAATTCCAGGGCCCGGTATGATTGTTCGTTCTAGAATCATTCCTAATGTTTTTTGCTTGCTATATGTTAGAAAGACCTCCCTAAAAACAACATTGACCAATGCAAAACATTGCAGCTGATAAGTTTCGCACCCTTAGCGCCTACTTTGTTATGACAGCATTGCAGAGGAATAAAAATGCGCATTTGATAAGTTCAATTACATTGTAAAACGACTTTATAAACACTCTACGAAGATCAGTATTCCAATGCATGTTTACAACAGGGAAAACTACCAAAACACGCTTGTTGTTTATACCTAAAAGACAAATGTTAGGGTCGTCTGAACGAGGCTTATTTACGGGTCAATCACGCACCTCCCGCCGGACGCGCAGTCAAAGCTGACTAGATCGTGCTCTATTTCGGAGCCCCATCCCCCTGCCATGCCTGCTCTCCGCGGAGTCAATGTTTTGTTTTTTAATATAAACAAACGTGACTTGTGTCTGTCCAGCCTGATGGGAGTAATCTGAAATATGTGCCTAGTATGCACAACTATTTGGATGCGCGCGTAGTGTAAGCAGATTGTTATCGCTCGATTGTTGTTGATTGAGCTGGAACTGGAAGAGCTGCCGCAGACAAACAGAAATAAAATCATTGTAAAACAGTATCCATGAAACGCTGTCGCCATCTATTGATCACACTGCTGAGGGTAAAGCGCCCAACTCCATAACAGCCGTTAGGTTGCGGTGCGTTAGTCTCCTGTAGTTGTGTACGGAGCGTTTACCCTATAGCCTGACCATGCAACCAACCAAATTTAAACCACGAGTAAAATTTAAGACGAGTGTTTGAAAAACCAACTTCGAAATGTTATGTCTGTTTGTCTGTGGAGTTGCCACAAAGGTGATCCCAAAAATAGGCGATTGCGTCACGCATTGACGGATTATAGCCACTCAATTATGAACAAACTGCTCCCATGAATGGGAATCGTTTATGGCCTCCTTCGATTCCTGATAAGAAAAGCTGAGAAGCAACCCTAATCCAGCGTGTGGCTCAGAACCCCGGCGATTAAGCCTTCAGGAATAGACATTCGGGTGACAACGGAAAGAAAACATTCGAATTGGATTCACTCGAGAATGATCAAAGCACTCGCTTATTGCATCATATTCTAGTCAGTGACAGTGAAACCGGGTTGCACTTGTCAAATGCGCACAGTGCACACTAACAAACAGAACGATTGTCTCCGCTGACGTGCGCACTACTTGATCAATAAGATGGAGCGTAGAGGGAAAGAGGCGGCGGCAATGAGAAGGAGTGCAGTGAATAATGGCGATGACAAGCTGTTAAAGCAGAGCAAGCAGAAAGAAGAAAAAATCGTAATACATACATACACATATGCACTGGTCCCCCGGCATTGGTCGCGCGATCTCTTGCGATTTATTCATGTGCGCGCACATGGGTAATTTGAGTCACTGCTGTCATGACGAGTCTACTATAGGTAGGTATTAGTTTACTTGGCCTGTCTGGTTCTCCTTCTTCGGGTGCATGGAACGTAGCAATAAGCGCGATTGTACCGTTACTATTGGCAACGTCAATTTATTTACCCCATGGATAAGGTCTGTTGTTAGTTTGGTAGATCGGGCTAAAAGTGTCCTTTTTGCTGCAATTTAGAGGCACGTACAAGTCTATCAACACAACGTTGCCATCTGGACATTTGAAATCTAAACAGTACAACTTTTGCTACAAAAAAAAACTCGTTTTATCATTTAATACTTCACTTTTTTAATTTTATATTTATTTGGCTTATCCTTGCAATTCCTTCGCAATTATACCACCCGCAACCAAGGTTGCAAAGACTCATTTCAGCTAAAACAATGTTTTTCTAAATTATGAAATAATTAGATACCATGATCAAATTTTGAATTGGTATGATACAAGAAGAGGTTGCAAAGAATGTGTTTGACATATTAAACCTGTTTATTTCACTTCATGAGAGTCACAATCAGCGGTAAAACATGCCATCATACCATCTTTTGGTTTTATTATTCCGAAAAACATTATTTTAGCTGAAATGAGTCTTTGCAACCTTGCCCGCAACATTTGATTTATTGGCATACTTTTTGGAACCACTATGGAACTAACCCTTAAGAAATTTCTAAGAATTGTCCTCTGAATTTCTTTGGAATTTGACCCAGAATTATTTTGAAATTATCCTGTGAATTCAATACCCTTAGAGTTCTTCTCGTAATTTCCTTTGAACCCTCTTGAAATTTTTCACAGAACTTATTTGGAATACTTGGACCTTAAATCTTCTTCACAGTAATGATGGAATTCTCCTCAGTACAATCAAAAATTATTCTCAAAACACTCCTCGAAATTCTCCTGGAGTTGATTGTTCCTTAAAATTCTTTCTACAATTGCTTTGAAGTTCTTGTCAAGACTCTCTCAGAGTTTTTCCTAGAACCACATATACTTTAGAATTTCTTTGAAATTTCCATAAAATTACTCTTAAATATACCTGAACCTTTAAAATCCAGTTGCAGTTCAAGTTCCTTGGATATTTCAAAGGTACCGATTTATTTATTTTTCTCGTGTATTTTACCCCTATGAGTTATAGAAGTTAACGTGTTTTCTGGTAATATACATTTTTATAAGATCGATCACGTTAGCTTTATGGAGCCGATAGTTCATTGTTCATTGTTTGTAAAAGAATTCACTTATTTGCATCGAATACTCCCGACTTACCTGAGGTTAAAGGGGTACATTGTCCAAGGATAGGATCAGGGGAGGAGCTTAGAGTGGGGTTTCGTTGTCTCAGCAGAGCGTTGTCGCCAGTATGAACGGTAGTGCGGTCGTCTGGAGTTCGACCGGCTATGGTGACCAGTGGGCGACGATGAGATTAATTGAGACAGGGGAAAAAAGTTAAAATCCAAATCGAATCCAATTTCAAAATTGTTGTTCTACAATAAAGTAAAATCAGTTTCAGAATATATACATTAGCAGAATAAATACATTTTGGACCGAAAGTGACAAAAGTTCGATTGAACATAAGTTCAAAGGGATGGAAGGCCATCCTATCCACCTATGTTCATTTATTTGCCATTTGTCCTTTTATACCAGCGCTGCCAAACGTGCCAAACGCTCTGTCCTCGATATAAAGTAAATTTTACATCGATATAACGTAGTACACATTTTCAAATTTATATTGTGTAGCCGTTCTGTTACAAAGGTTCAATACAATATTTTAAATTTGCACCATGTGACCGAGCATTCAAGTAAATCCGTATAACACTCGCGGTGTAACCCACTAGGAAGACGTTACGGTCATGCTTAATGGCCGATTGCTGAATAA